CTCAGCCCCCCGCCAGCCGCTCCTGGCAGCAGCACAGAGCTGGCAGACGCCCATGGGGCAGGTGACATGGGACAGCACTCAGGACGGAGCCCCCCAGCCCAGGAGCCAGCACGGCCACACTGCACCAGCTCCAGCCCCCTCCAGTGCTGGGCTGGCAGCAGCAAGCAGTGCGCTGGATTATAAACCAAACCCTCACCCACCCACCAAATGCCCCCATGCCCAAACCCCACGTCGCCGCATGGGGAGGGGTCTCTCCCCTGGGACGTGCATCCTCCGGGACAGCAGGAGCTGTGGCACGAGCCCCAGGCGTACTTGTGGGAGGCGATGGCCTCGGTCAGCCCGTAGAGGCTGTGCAGGTTGTAGTGGGAGGACAGGTACTGCTGGCTGGAGGCACAGATGGTCCCGGCTCGGGGGCGTCCCCCAAACACACCTGCATGGGATAGGAGAGGGCAAGGTCGGAGCCCGCTCGGCCGGGACCGGAGCATCCCCCAGGTTCCTCCCGGGGTTCCCCGTGCCCCCGGGCGGAGGCTGGTACCTGCTCCCTGTACCTGGTACGTAGGGGGGCTGCTCCAGGCTGTTGTTGGGGCAGCCGTCCTGGGAGCCCTCCACGAAGTTCGATGGCTCATTCATGTCCTGGGGAGGGAGGGGAATGGATGCCCTCGCTGTCGCACCAGGGCCCAGCAGAGGTGCAGGGCAGGAGCCCCGGAGCCGCAGCCGGCAGCTCTGCCGGGGCCACTCACAATCCACATGCCATCGAAGGGCACTTGGTCATGGAAGTCCTTCACCATGTCGTGCCACCACTCGTGAGTCTCCGGGTTGGTGAAGTCCGGGAAGGCTGTTGGGCCCGGCCAGACCTGCAGGAGGGAGGCAGCAATGGACAAAGCCCCGCTGTCCCCAGCCTGCTGCACCCCACAGCCCCCGTGTGCCACCATGGCCATTCCCCGGGTGTTCCCCTCTGGCTCTCGGGGTCCCGCTCCCACGGCCCTGCTCAAGCCCCCTCCTGCGGGGACCAGTGCTGCTCCTTGCACGCACCTTCCCGATCAGAGGCTGCCCCGTGGCATTTTGGATGAACACCCCTCGCTTCAGTCCCTCGTCGTAGGGCTTGTAGGTGCCAGGAGGCCCTGAACTGCTGATCCCGGGATCCTGGCAGGGCACAAAGCCGGGGCTTTACCAGCGAGGCCAGGGAACCAGCTCCCCGTCCTCCCTCGGAGGAAGCTCCTTCACCGGTGGCAGCCCGCCCATGCAGAAGCGCCGGCATGGCCAGGGGTGTCACTCACCACGATCATGATGTACCTCAGGCCGCGGCGGTGGAAGTCCCGCACCATCTCCGGGTAATCCTTAAAGCTTTTCTTGTTGAAGGTGAAATCCCTCTTGGCATCCATGTAATCCAGGTCGTTCCACTGCACGTCCTGTGGACGGTGTCACCGGCGCTCAGGGAGGAGCAGGGACCCCCGCACGCTGCCACAGGACCCCTGCCCCACCAGGGCTCCCTGTCAGCCCCCCCATGGCTGCTTTCCAGCAGAGGCCCCCGGGGAGCAGGCGAGACCTACCAGGGGGAAGTGGGCTGCCGTCATGTTGGCCACAACCTGCCGGGTGATGGCGGTGGAGGAGTAGCCCCAGCGGCAGAGGTGGAAGCCCAGGCCCCAGTACGGGGGCATGAAGGGGAACCCTGAAAGCCGGGAGGGTGAGTGCTGGCCAGGCGGGCACAGGGATGGCCCAGCATCGCACTCCCCCACAAGCCCGCTCCGCCACGCCGGCCACGCTGCACAGCTCACACCACCCTGGCAAAGCCATCCCAGGAGCACCCATGCCACCCGCCCGCGGCTCGACCCTACCGACGACGTCCAGGTACTGCCGCACCACGCTCTTGGGGTCGGGGCCCAGGAAGATGTAGAAGTCCAGGATCCCACCCGTCGTGCGCCAGGTCAGGGCCGGGCTGGGCTGCAGGAGCACGTCTGGGGAAGCACAGGCACCGGAGGAACAAGCTGAGGACAGGGACGGGGTCCAAGCCTGTGCTCGATGCCTCTGCAGGACTCACCCATCGCGTTGCTGTTCAGCAGAAAGACCCCATGGGCCGAACCGCCATCCTCCATCACCAGGTAGAAAGGGTGGGAGCCGTAGAGGTTGGCCTGGGGCTGGAGCAGAGCACAGCGCGGTGCCAGTGAGGATCCGCTGGAGACCCCGGTGCAGCACCCAACCCACCCACCCGCCTGCCCCTCGCCTCCAGCCAGAAGCACCATCACGGCTCAGGGTGCAAACCCAGGCCTTGTGGCCCCAAACACGGCCCCTGCTGGCAGAGCTCTGCCCCGAGCAAGAGCCCTGGACCGGTGGGGAGGAAAGCAGCTCCCGAGCAGCGCAGGGGGACAAAGCCTGACCTGGGGCCAATGGTCCCGTGGGCTTGCCCGGGGCTGAGGCCAGGTCCCAGAGATCAACCAGAACAGATGCCTTTCCCCAGCCCCAGACAAGACCTAAGAGGCCATGGGGCCAGCCCTGCCAGCGCAGATGAGCCGTCTCCCTTTCCCTCAGCCCCACTCCGTACCACGGGGGCCATGTCTCGATTCCAGAGGGTGACCTTGGTCCACGCCGTGTCAAGGACCAGCGGTGTCAGGTGCTCCCCCAGCCCAGAAATGAAATGGGAGGGCAAAGAGGTGGAGATCTGCAGGAACTGGTCTGCGAAGAAGAGGGGCGCGACGGTGGTGTTCAGCCTGCCGGAGAGAAAGGGAGGCTCTGGCCAACAGCCCCGGCAGTGCCCAGCAGCCGGGGAGGAGGGAGGCACGGAGCTGGAGGGCCAGCAGCTCTGGGGAGGGACAGGGATGCTCGTCGCCATGTGAAACAAAACCAAGTTTTGTCTGAGCTCGGTCATCCCTGCTTCCCTTCTGAGCC